GCTCTGGGGGAGGGGCGGGGTTATAACCGCGATTGACGGGAAAGTGTTGGCACCCTAGGCACAACCATCAGGCAGGCAGCAGGGGGTGCGGTGTGGTGTACATGGCAGAGAGCGCGTTCACGTCGTGACCGGGCAGTGGAGATCGTGATTGTTTTTTTAGCAGGCGTTACGTATGTGACGAAACAGTGCTTCCAAGAGGAGTGTGTCCTCTAAAGATAGAGCGTAGTTGAACGCAACAACAAGGGGATGGAGGTTTTTAGTTTAAACCGTTGGTAGAAGAACGCTTTGCGAAGGAGTGAAGAACGCTTTCGTGGGCAGGGGTGTGTGCCTGTCGTGGCTTTTAGTAGACAGTGGATTTTTGGTTTGCAAGCGTTACAGATGTGATCAAACAGGTGCTTGGCATTGTTTCCCCTCGGAGAGCGTTGTTGAACGAAACAACAAGGGGATGGAGGTTTTTAGTTTAAACCGTTGGTAGAAGAACGCTTTGCGAAGGAGTGAAGAACGCTTTCGTGGGCAGGGGGGGTGTGCCTGTCGTGACTTTTAGTAGAAGTGGATTTTTGTGGTTTGCAGGCGTACCGGATGTGACCAAACAAATGCTTGCAAGGGATTGTGTCCCCTCGGAGAGCGTTGTTGAACGAAAGAAGGGGATGGAGATGTTGTGTTCTAGACATCGGTAAAATGTACCACCGTGTGAAGGAGTCAAGAACGGTTTCGTAGGCAGGGGGGGGCACGTGTTGAAACAGGCTAGCAGGCAGTTGATTTTTTGTTCTTGTTTATGGAAGTACCGGATGTGACCAAACAGGTGTCAAAGGATTGTGTCCCTTGAGAGAGAGCGTTGTTGAACAAAACAACAAGGGGGTGGAGATATTGTGTTGAAGCCATCGGCAAAATGTAACACCGTGCGAAGGAGTGAGGAATGCGTTCGTGGGTAGCGTGCGTGTGTTCGTGGGCAGGGAAGGTTCCTGTTGGAACAGGGTGGGCTCTGTACTAGGTGTGTGTATGGTATGGTACAGCAGAGCGGACCTTTCTTTGTGTAGCTTGAAGAGCGATGGCCATCCAAGAGCCTCCTCGGTCTCCCGCACGTTGGTGTGTGTATCTGAGCAGAAGGGTCGGAGAACGTGACGGCAAACGTGTGTGCAAGTGAAGATAACAAGTCATCGTCGCCATCGCGTAGACAGCTTGTTTTAGGTGTTACTAACGCAAGCAGTGTCACTTTCGACACTTTCTTGTGACAGACGAAAAAAATAAGTGAAGAAGGTCTATGATCTCCTCATTTTTTCCTGTGGCGGTGGAACAAAATGCTGAGAAGCACCTACACCACCAGTCCGTGCGAGGTGAAGGTGGAGTAAACACAGAGTGATTGTTTTATCCACACACAGACGCCCAAGCTGTCTTCACCTGACGGTTACAGACTTGGAAGCACGCCTTCACAATACTGCACAAAATCCATGCAGTAGAACCAGTCGTTCTTGTACACAAATACTCCACAACACAAAACTTCACACGTTTGACGTTTCCTGAGACACTCGCGGTCCCCGTGCATGTAGTTTCATCGTTTCCCTACAATCCTCTTGTGAGGATCCACGAAGAAAATAATAGCACCGCGGGGATCAATCGGTGTGGCAAGTGAGGGCGAGCGTTTCGTCCTCCAATCAAATCACACGCCCCCTGTTGGGGCTGGGGAAGCCACCGGTCCCGAAACCACCGCATGCACATGCGAAACCGGTTTCATTGATGATATCCCTGATCAACCTTGCACTTGGAACAAAAATATTTCTGCGAGGACAATTGGCGACCGAACCAGACAATGCGCCGACAAGACTTCACTCAGCACGCGTTCATCTTTGGCCCGTGCTGCTGACTGTCAGAGCAAAACTCACGTGATGCTAAGACCTGGAGCTGAATGTCTCATGCATTTCTCTGAGGCTCACAACCATACAACCGAGGTCTGCTCGACGCGTGGGCTCATCTTCTCAAGACTAAATATCAAAACCCAGTATTCGCTGCCTCGTTTTCACCCAAAATTAGCTGCCTTGTTTTGCCTCGACTACCGAAAGTGGTCGGTGCCCCCCTCTTATCTGCGAATGGCGTCGCAGTCCGTTAGCGGTGCTATCTGCACAGTAGTCTAGCACGGCCGCAGTGTGAGCCAGAGCCAGCGAACGCGCGGTTTCTACATCACAGCAGTTGAAGTCACGCCAAAACAGGCGTTAGCACAAACGTTTGGCTACCAATATGCAGACCTTTACCACTCACCAACCGACCCACCGTCCCCTTGTACCCAAACTCTGCCTTTAACAAAATTACCCATCCCCCCTTGCGACCCGCAAAGGGGATAATCGCACCACGTTGTGTTAAATTGGTCAAACCCTCGAGGCAGTTACACAGTGCTTACAACTGTCTCTGGAAGTGAAAGCACCAGAAAATAAATTAAGTCATGCACAACTGTCATCCGTACGCAAGGAGGTAAGCACAAAATGCCGAACACCCTTAGCAGGATGCAGCGCACCCTTCATGAGACTCGCCGAATACCTCGCGGCGCTTCGCGCTTGGTGATGTGAGAGCCTGGTCCGGTGAGAACCCGGCGTGCTCCGTCCCGGCTTTGTCGGGATGCGAGGTCAATGGTCTAACGACTACGGCATGCACGACTATGAGTACACCCCCCCCCCTCCCCTTACGACCCTGTAGGGATGCAAGGTCAATGGTCTAACGACTACGGCATGCACGACTATGAGTACCCCCCCCCCCCCGCCCCCCTAACAACCTGGGGGGCAAAGAAAAGACCGCCA